AAAGCGGGCCTCCCGGCTCCGCACAAAGGTCGGATTGTTCTGCGCCGAGCGGAAGGAGCGGGTGACCGGGCGGCCGGACAGACGGCCGGGGCAGCCTGGGGGCGCGGGACGGGGGAGCTGCGCTATCCTGGTATCCCCGGGGAGGCCACGGAGCTGCCGGCCGGGGCAGAGTGGGAGCAGGGATGGGGGACCATGAGGGAGGATCCACAAACCTGCACCCCAAACCCTGCACCCTGCACCCCGTCCTGCGCCCAGCCCCTTCCCTGTGTGTCCCTTCCTGCTGCGTGTGCCAGGAGGGCAGGAGCTGATGCTTGTCCTGGGGATACCGTGGTGGAAAACGGGTCCCTGTGGCCCCTGGCCCACGCCGGTGCCTCCCATCCCGGCAGGAGAAGCGGAAGCGCCAGACGGAGATTGAGAACAAGCGGCGGCAGCTCGAGGACATCCGGCGGCAGCTGCAGCACCTCAAGGTAGGGACGCGCGGGCGCGCGGGCACCGGCCCGGCCCCCGGCACCGCTCACCCTCTGCCCGCAGTCCAAGGCTCTGCGCGTGCTGGAGGGAGCCCCGGCCTCCGCCTCCGAGGAGGACGAGGCCCTCAAGAAGCAGATGCAGGAGGATGAGGTGAAGACCAAGGAGCTGGAGGAGACCATCCAGAGGTACCGGGGTGCTGGTGGCTCGAGCAAGGCCCTCGGTGTTGGGATGTCCTGGCAAAGCCGCGGGAATTGCCGGCTCCTTGCAGAGATCGGGAATTGCAGTCGCTTTGCAAAGACCAGGGAGGGGACGCGGTGGCCGGGCGGGAGTGCAGGGCTGAGGAAGCTCCTGGCTCCTCATGGTCCCACCTCCTCAGGCTGGAGAAGGAGCTGGAGACACTGGAGAACGGGAGCTCGGCAGCTTCCACCCGGGAGAACCTGGCGGAGGCAGCGGTGCCGGCGCGGGAGGAGAAGGCAGAGGCCGTCCCCAACGCCGAGAAGGTGAGAGGGCAGCGGTGGCCGCGGCAGTGCCGGGATGGATGGAGCCGCAGCGGGGCCTGCGCTCCCGCATCCCGCAGCCTCCCCGGCATCCCACGGCGCCGGGGATGCTCCGCGCTGCCCCTGCCTCCCGGGAGAACCTGGCGGAGGCAGCGGTGCCGGCGCGGGAGGAGAAGGCAGAGGCCGTCCCCAACGCCGAGAAGGTGAGAGGGCAGCGGTGGCCGCGGCAGTGCCGGGATGGATGGAGCCGCAGCGGGGCCTGCGCTCCCGCATCCCGCAGCCTCCCCGGCATCCCACGGCGCCGGGGATGCTCCGCGCTGCCCCTCTCTCCCCACCTCTGTTTTCAGAGTCCCCTGAGCACCGTCAAGGGTAGGTGGTAGGTGATGCCGGTGCCGCTGCTGCCCCTGCTGCTGCACGAGGAGCCGTGCAGCTCCCTGTCCCCATCCCTGTCCTGGGGAGCCCTGTGCCCAGCCGGGGCGACGCTCCCATGGGATTTTCTGCTCCTCTCCATCCCCAGCTGAGAGGAAGGTCTCCAGCAGCCCCATGAAGGCGGTGGAGGGCACCGACATGATGAAAGCAGGTAGGTGATCGCGGGCGCCGCGCTGACTCGCTGCCCTGCTGCCTGCTGTTCCATGGCTTCCAGGGTGGAAAACTCAGCTCAGGATCCCGGGGCTCCTGGGATGCGGCCCAGGATGCTCCTCCACGCCCACCACTCCTCTCTGCTCCCCAGCTCGTTTCTCTGCTCTCGATCTTGCTCCTTGCAGCTTGCAAGGCTTGCAAGCTCTTTGCACCTCGTGGCGTAAGGCAGATGCTGCCCAGCGCAGCGGGCACTTGCCAGGCACTTGCAGGGCACTGGGGGCTGCTGCTGGCCCTGCTCCCACCCCGGCTCCGCTCCATCGGTGGAGAGGATGAGGCTGCATCGGCATCGACAGAGCCGTGGGCAAAGTGATCCCAGGCGAAGGCCGCCCTGGTGCGAGAGGATGCAAGGCTGGGAGCAGACGGAGGCGCCCGGCCCATGGGAGCATCCCCGGGCAGCAGCCCGTGTCCCAGCAGCTGCTTCGCCCTCAATGAGCCCGGCAGGACCTCGGCACCAGCCGGACAGACGGACACGGGGCTGGGCTGGGGCTCAGTCCGCAGGGACCCCTCAGAGGGAAGCACCGGGACGTCGCTCCCGGCCACAGCCTGCTGCCTCGCTGCCACCGCTGCCACCGCCACTGCTGCTACTGCTCACCGCTGCTGCTGCCACCACTGCTGCTGCCACTGCCGCTGCCAGGGGCCGGGTGCCGTTAACCCTCGCTGTGCTCTCTGTCCAGCCATGTACTCCGTGGAGATCACGGTGGAGAAGGACAGAGTGACTGGGGAGACCAAGGTCCTGTCCAGCAGCACCCTGCTCCCGCAGGAGCACTGCCCGCAGGGCGTCAAGGTGTACGAGGACGAGCTGCGAGGTACGGCCCGTGCCCGCCGCGGCGCCGGGCGCGAGGAGCCGCCTCGCACGAAGACTCGGGAGCCGCAGCGGGGCAGCAGTGCCGGGAGCGGGGCAGCAGGAGCCCCCGGA